GGCTCCTGGCATCGCTTCTAGTAACAAGTGCCTTACTAGTAGTAACAATGATAATTTATTTAGCATTGTAATTACTAGCAAAGGAATCTACTAGGACCTTTTCGAACCTCGAACTTGTGTCCTAGTGGAAGTGACAGGCTACAGACCACAAGCACTGCTAGCTTTTTAAATGCGCGTCCTTGCAAATGGATGTACAACAGGAGCGCACCTAGAAGAAGGGACTGAGGCTACAATTCACAGTCCTTTTCGGTCTTTCAATTCGGCTCTTTCAGAGATTGCAGGTCCGTGGCCCGGTTTCGTGTTTGTCGGGTCTGTCGCCAAAAAGCTGCCCGCATAAACGCTCCACGTTCATCTCAGTGTGGGAAGGCGCCCGCATCTGGAAGTCCGCTGAGTCCTTCACAACAGCTGCGCCGCAACTGAGGTTACAAAATGTGACACAACAACTTCAAAGCAATATGAGCGACCCTTTGACGGGCGGTGAGAGACAAAACACGCTCCACTCAGACTCATCTCCCATCCTGCCGTTTTCCACTCAGCCCCTCCTTTTCCTTTCTTTTTCCTTTCCAGAAAAAAGGCCCCTTAATGGCGCTGAAGAAGCCGTGCGATCAGAGAGTGAGAGATATCCGTCGAAACGGGCCTTAAACAATATCCGATTGACATTTGTCACGAAAGCTAGCTGTAGCTAGCTGGAGTCTGTCTTGCTTTAGCAAGGAGGGTGGGAGCCGAGGACCTGAGTGCAGATACCTGGTTCAACTCCACCCTTCTCCTCAGTACCTGCTGCTGCTTGGTCTCTTGCTGCTTGCATGCTTGGTGCTGCTGATTGCCTTTGGCTGCTTGCTGGTTGCTGCTGACGTGTTGGGGCATGAGCGAAGAGTTCGGTGGGGGAAGCGGGTGATGAAGAGTTTGGTGATGTTTGGTGGAAGCATGGCAGTAGTTGAGTTTTCCCTTTGTGCATCCTAAATTAACTATATTATTGTCACGCTGCCCCAACTCGTGTCATGGTACCGTTGATGCCATTCATGCGGTTCAGGGTTGCTGCACTTGTTGCAACGCAACGAACAGACACTCTCAGGTGAGGCGTGGTTTGGTTTTCTTGAGGTGACACTTGGTCAGGAATCGAGGTGCGCTTCGGTGACCCTGGCGGGGTGCTTCGCCGCATCCTTGCATGCTCAAGGGGGCCATCCTGGTGGTCACGATGCCCGTTCTTGATTTTTTAGGAATTATGCATCACGCGTGAGCAATGTTTTGCCTAAGCCATCTAGCACACGGAGCCGCAAAGTCACTACAAGCGAGTGCACGCATGACATTTCCAGTTTGCTGCTGTTTGCTGCTTGCTGTTTGCTGTTTGCCGCTGTTTGCGGCTGCTTGCTGCTGTTCGCTGCTGCTGCTGCTGCTGCTTGGTTGTTGCTGCTTGGCTGCTGCTTGGTTGCTGCTGCTGCTTGGTAGCTGCTGCTTGCTGCTGCTTCCGCTGCCGCTGCTGGTTACGGTTATTGTTGTTGTGGCTGCTGCTGCTGCTGCTGTTGCTGGGGTGGTTGTGTGTGTTGCCATGTCTTGCTTGTGTTGGGGTTGTATTGGGGGGGCGCTGTTGACACTCTCCTTTACCCTCGGCCATGACATGTTGCGCTTCCCGGCCCGGCTTTTGCTGCTAAAAGAGCCCCAGCGTTGTTTCTTTCCCTGGCTTTCGCCACCCCCCCTGGGCCACAAGTTCCGAATAGTGAAGAGTGCGATTAGGAAGAGGCAAAGCAAGTTGGCTTGGCTTTCTGGGAGCTATCGCACCTGTCTAACAGCTTGTTTTGTGGTCTGTTGTGATTCGAAGGCTTTTGAAGCAGTGAAGAAGAGGTTCCTTGACAAAAGGGGGCTGGAGTCCAGTGGACCCCAGCGACAGCAGGAGAATGCTGCGGTTTGAAACTTCATACGTTGTGTTTTGAAGAAACAACGCAACAAATCAGAACAACTTCCCCCACTAGCTGGTGAACCTTGAAAGATTCATTTCTGGCTAGGAGAATGGGGGCATCCTCGTTATTTCAACCGTTGCTGAAGCGGAGCGTGTGCAACTGTCAGTTCTGAGACGAAACGAAAGAGGAAGACCGCGCGGAACATGTACAACTAGTGCAACTCTCCTGTGTTAAGCTTCTTTAAGCCAACTAGTGCAACCGGTGTGCTCTCGCTGGCCCTTTCCCCAGGTCATAGAAAGTCTTCGCTCTTTTTCAGGGTGCTTGGCAGTTTGGCTTGAGGCGAAATTGCGTGGGTGCATTTCTGTATGGACAAGGGTCCTTCATAAAGAACGGTTGCCAACTTCAACTGTCCAACTATCACTGATATCATCATCATCATCATCATCATCATCATCATCATCATCATCATCAT